TTATTAGTTATATTTTGTTCCTTCCTTTCTTCAATGACTTCGTATAAATATACGAAGTTTTTATATTTTATATATTTTTTTAATATTTTTTATATTTTTTTCATAACCAACGTTGAACAGCCGATTCTTTCGGGGAGGACTTTCTGACGGAACTAACCCGCATTTGCTTTACATGGAGAGGAAGACCACGAGAACCTCCCTCGGTTAGCCTGACTGCAAGGGGACTCTAACCCATGACCCATCTTCCACTGAGGATATTTTCCGACAGTAATGCGGTTGGTGCAAGCCGGAATTCGTATAGGCCGGACATCGTTGGGATTCGAACCCAGTTCACGTCATTGAAACGCTTTTTCCCCTGAGCTATCGTGACGCAACATAAGAAGTTTATAGGAAGTAATTGAGGAAGGCCTTTTTTGCCATTCTCAGGATGTTTAAAATTTTTTATTAATGACGGTAATTACTGAATAACCAGCATATTTTGACAACCCCAACTTCATTTAATTGAAAAAAGAATTCTCTTTAAAAAAAAAAAACTCCATGTAAAGTTTATAATTTTTTTAAACTTGTTTGTAAAGACATTTTCATAGTTTCAGGTATGTAACATTTTTATGGCTTTAGGTTTGTAAAGACATTTTCATGGTTTCATGCTCGTGATTTACAGATCTGTAAGAAAATACTTATAATCAGTTAATGAAATTGATTAAAAACCTAGGCATTTAAGTTCAGTAAGAAAAACTAATTTTCGAATCTTTACTCAAGCATGATGGGCTAGTAAATAATAATATACTACTTGAGGGTGTTACTTTCAATACAATTGAAGTTACCTTACATTTCCCAGGTTCAATAATTATATGCCTGTTATAAACAATTTTATACGATACAGTGCGTGCAAATATCATTTTTGGTACTTGTGTTTTTCTTTTACTCAACTATACAAATGGCACTAATTATAAAATTACTATCTATTTTTAGGTATATTGTCCTACTAGTACAAGTAAATATATAGTTTTAAAAACAATATAAAAATTCCTATTTATGTTATACAGCAAGCAGGTTGTTAGCAGATGTAAAATTTATAAAGTTGCAGTGATGAACTATGCTGTAAATATTTCATTAGATTGAAATAAATTCCCTAATGTGTTGTTACTGACAGCGCGCAGCATTATCACAAACAGCACAATGTGATTAGACAGAAATGTTATTTTCACAGCACTGTTAAACGCAGCATACTGTGACATCAACAGTAGTTTCCTGTAATATTTAAAGCAGTTTGTGAACGGTTACGTAAGTCTGCTGTAATATTCAAAACAGTAACTTTGTTGTGAATTTTACAGCAAATCGTTGTAATAGTCAGAATGACTTTTACTGTAAATTTTACATCAATCTGCTGTAATATTTTCAAAACCGCAAATTTACTGTAAATGTTATTGCACCTTCTGTCAGTGGCAGTGCCATAACTTTTACTGTAAGAAACAAACGATTTTTTAACAGTTTACTAAACAGGTCGATTTTCATACCCTTTATTTTATATTACTCTCGATATCTTAAAGTTGAAGGGAGGCTAAAAATTTCGAGATAGCAAGTTCAGAACTAAATATGTTCTGAAAAATCGAAAAATATATTCTAAAATATTACTTTAAAAAGTAAATAATGAAACATACAAACAACTTCTAGCAAATATGTATGCCATGATAGTTGACTATAAGTACAAGTACAACAATGATAATTTTACTTTTAAAAGTAAGACACAAATATAATTATGCATTAAATAGAAAAAAAATTGGTTTACAATTAACTTTGTGATTTTTCCGAAAAAAATAATTTTCTATTACGAAAAAAGTTCGACGTAAAACATTTTTGAGAAGAAATCCTTCGACGTAGGAATTCAAATTAACATAATGTGGATAGATAAATATATATATATATTGACACAACAATATTTTCGAGATATCAAAGTTTGAGATATCGAGAATATACTGTATTTCTGAAATAACTTAACAAAATTCTAATTTCGTGAGTGACAAAGCTTGCACCCAGTGAGTTTAAAAAGACCTCTTATTTCTTCATTTTTAGTTAAATTACTTTTTTGTTTAAATTGTGGTGTGCAGGTCTTTCTGTAACTTTGGCCATTGGAAATAAAAAACAAATATTTTTTTGACATCAGGAAACAAGAATCAATATGAAACTATTTCAGTAAATTCAGATTTAACAGCAGAAAAAAAAGGTGATGAGTGGCGAACTTTCTGGTCAGTGATCCAGTAAATATTAGTTAGTTAAGTGATTTACCCCAATACTTTCTCTGTTGAAACCTAAGAAGAAAGTTTGTTCTCAAACAGATAATGTATTAAATAACAGCACTTATAACACACACACACNTATATATATATATATATATATATATTTACTTCAGAAAACATGAATCAATATGAAACTATTTCAATAAATTCAATAAGATTTAATAGCAGAAAAAAGGTGACGAATGGCGAACTTTCTGGTTAGTGATCCAGTAAATATTGTTCAGTTAAGCGATCTACCCCAATACTTTCTCTGTTGAAATGTTAAATAGCAGCACTTATAAAAGTTATGCTTTGTAGATATCCATTTACATTTCGAAGGCCCTTAGTACTGTAACTACACTTGTAACAGTTCAAAAATTTTATATTTATGTATTAAACATTTTATTGGATTACACGCGGTCAACTTATTCACTTAATTATAAATGCTCGATATTTTTGACGTTTATGCAATATAGGGTGCAGGTGGTACGAATTAGGCAACTTGTATCCTGAATCATGTCCCTCGCAAAACAATTAATTTTCAGCACTTAATATACATCATCATAGTTGGCCAGGCAGCCCAATGTGGGCCAATGCCATCCTCTGAAGATTTTTCCATAACGACTTTCTATTTATCTTTGATCTCCAGTTCTTTTCATTAATTGCAGGAAAATCAGACTCCACCGAGTCAGTCCCCGGCCTATCTGATTTTATTTACTTCTGATTNCAGGCAGCCCAATGTGGGCCAATGCCATCCTCTGAAGATTTTTCCATAACGACTTTCTATTTATCTTTGATCTCCAGTTCTTTTCATTAATTGCAAGAAAATCAGACTCCACCGAGTCAGTCCATCTCAACCGGCCTATCAGATTTTATTTACTTCTGATTTTATTTATAGTATTTACCCTAAAGATTTTGAGAAAAAACTAATGAGAATTGCTTAAATGTTGAGTATTTAGATTTTAAAATTGATATTGTTGATAAAATAATTAAAATTGATGTTTTTGAGAAACAAAAAGCTTTCAAATTTAAAGTTATTTTTTCTGTAACTTTAATACTAATTTGTGCAATAAAATTTTTAAAAATTTAGTTTTTTCGCAAATGTTTAGGATTAAAAAAATTTGCAATAATGTTGAAAGCTTTCGGGAGGCTGCGAATAATTATTGAATTATTTGAGTAATAATGATTTTCCTTACAATTATTGCAATGTTAATTTTTTGATTAGGAAAATGATTGAGGAATACTAATTTCTTTTAATAGGGCGAAATTAAAGTCTTGACTGAGCAGCCCCAATTGAGCATTATATTAATCTGTTACGTAATCTACTTTTACTTTCCTTCTTTCCTACTGAGCATTTTATAGACGGCGTTTTCTTTTATTTCAAATGTTTCTTTCACAATTAGTTAGTTTGTGAGATTGCTGTTTGACCGGATTGCTGCGAGTTTTTATTTCTTCACTTTTGTATTATATTCTCAAGATTTTGTTTGAAATTTCTCTTCTTGTTTGATTTTATGTATTTCTTGTATTTCTTCCTGAACTTTTACAAAACCTTCGGGGTTCTGAGAGAGCTAATTTTGACATTTGTCCACTCTCTCAATAGAAAAGGTTTTGTTCTATGACTTCCGGAGCTGGTACCGCCTGAAGACGTTGGCTTTGGTGGCCATATTTTTATTTTACTTCCATTATTTTTTTCTTTATGGCTTCAATTACATATTTCAAATGTGATTGCCAGTGATTTCTGCCTTGCAATTGAAAAAACAATATAAATGCTTTACGATAGATTCCGAGAAAAGTCTCTTGACATATTTTTTTCTTTGTATTGCTAATGCCTATGAACGATAGAATAGAATTTCAGAAAACTGATGAAACAAAATTTATTTTTGAAAAAACAATTTTTGCGCAGCAATGTAGTTTATCGTTCAGAGATGCCTAATACATAAAAATCTCAACTTTGAATTTTTTGTCTCTTACATTGATTTTTCTATAGCACGGTAGATTTATGAATGATGCAACGGTTTGCCCAGTTCTCCATTATGTTCATAAAAAATAGATATAATTATAAAAAATCATATTATGCATAAATTAAATTACTATAATATTCCTAACTATAATTATAAGCTATTATATTTAAATCGTTGAGTTCAGATTGACAAAAATTTGAAAAGAAAAAAAGAAAGAAAGAAAAAAAACAGTCATTGGTTTTTATGATACTAATTACGAAAAAGTGATAAGTATAAAATTATTTTACCAAAATAACCTAGATATAAATTAGCTAAAATTAACTCCACATTATTTTATTTTTTTTTTAGTTTTAGAAAAAGAAGCAAATAATTGAAAAAGAAATTTGAAGTCTCAGAAAATTATTTGGAGATATGTGTCCCCCTGTGCCAACCGCTGACACTACGCCTGTGAATTATTTCATACGAATTTTTAAATTGCAAAATTTTCATACCATAGAAAAAAGAAAAAAAAACATTAAAGCATCGCCAAAAATAAATGAAATATTTTTTTTCGTTTAAAGCGGGGAAAAATCGAAAATTCCTCGTAGAAAAATAAGTTTTCCTCTTTTGATTTCAATGTTTTTAAAATGACAACTCTTCCAATAATTCATTTATTTAGACGAGAAATTTCCGGGAGAAAAGTTAAATGTTCAGCCATAGGATGGCGCTGTCATCCATTCCTTCCATTGGATAATGTGTGAAAAGGCGTCCTTCATTGTAACCCCGCCTACCACACATCAATCAAAGAAATCGGTGGAATACAGTCTTACTCACGGGATAGTATGAGATAGATAAATATGAATCATTTAGGAACTATGTATGCAACAAAAAGAAGGAGACGGAACAGTAAAAGGTAAGAGACTTTTATTGTACACTTTTAATGTGAATATGAATTATCATTTTTATGTATGAAAGTCACAAAAGAGATATATTTGGAATTAAAATGCTTCTTCAAAAATTCGAAGCCGCAACAAGATATTTTTGGTTCTGAAAAAGGAACCCTCCTTATATCAAAATAAAATTTTATGCAATAAGTATTTAAATTTGTATTTAACTAAAATATCAAAAGGGCGCAGAGACAAATTTGTTTCTGTACCATACTTATGGTACAGAATGGCTTACTTATGGCTTCTAAAACAGGCAGATATTCCACCTTTTAAATTCGTCTTTTTAAAAAAGAAAAAGAAAATGACAACAGTATTTCTTGTCGATATGATAAGTTAAAAAGTATATGATTATAGTTTTTATTTAAAAAATGGAAAATAAAATGAGTCATTTCGCTGGAGTAAATATTGTAAGTGCATCCAAAACGAGCAGAAATTTCTAAATTCATTTTTTTTTCTTTTAATAAATGACGAAAATGAAAAAAGATAAATATTTTTAACATTCTAAAAATGACGAAAATTTAAAAAAATAAACGTTTAAAAAATTCGTTATAGGGGAACAATCACTTCGTTGTACAGAGAATAATCTGTACGTTATTTAATGTTCTAAAATGAAATTTCGTTATAGGCAAAAAAATTCGCTGTAAGGAAAGTTTGTTGTTTAGGGTATCTGCTTGCTTATATATCTATCTATATATATGCATAATTAAAAAATAATTAATGAAATATATCTATATTTTTCTATAATTATTTATTAATTATAATACCATATTACATATATTACAGTTATAAATAGCTATAAATATACTTCAGTTATAGTATTAATTACGTACTATTACAATTAACATTTTCAACAATTATTATTACATTATTTCCTATAGCGATATGATAAAAAATATTTTTTCAAAGATTTCTGATACGGTGAAAAATTGTTATATTGGATTAAGTTTGTGTTAAATACTGTGTGTGTCCACTGACAATTCACTATAGCGTGGTTTGACTGTATTAAGTGTCAATAAGATTAATAATTTGTCATTTCTTAAATAAATAAATATATATAT